CATTTCTTACCCGTTTCGATGAAGATGTCTTTGGACAAGTTGGCTGAGATATATACACGTGGGATCGTCCGACTCCACGGAGTGCCCGTTACGATCGTATAAGATAGAGATCCCAGATTCGTCAGTCGATTCTGGCACAGTTTGCATGAGGCGATGGGCACGAAGCTAGAGTTCAGTTCAGCCTACCATCCAGAAACAGACGGTCAGTCAGAGCGGACTATTCAGACGCTTGAGGATATGCTTCGCGCTTTGGTTATTGACAGGGGTGCTAAGTGGGAGTCGTTGTTACCGTACGCCGAGTTCGCGTATAACAACAGCTATCATTCTTCTATTCAGATGGCTCCTTACGAAGCACTTTACGGTCGCAAGTGTCGTTTCCCTCTTTATTGTGACGACGTCGGAGAGCGACGAGTGCGCGGTCCTAAGCTAATCGAGGAGACCGCAGATCAGGTCGAGTTGATCCGGCAGAGACTCAAGACAGCTCAGAGTCGACAGAAATCGCCAGCCGATCATCATCGACGAGATATTCAGTTTGAGGTTGGCGAGCCAGCTTTTCTTAGAGTTCGTCCGAATCGCGGAGTCGTTCGATTCGGAAAGAGAGGGAAGCTGCACCCTCGATTCATTGGCCCGTTCGAAGTTCTCGAGTGAGTAGGCAAAGTCGCGTATCGATTAGCTTTACCTCCCGAGTTATCTGGCATTCATAATGTATTCCACGCATCTATGTTGCGTAAGTACGTGTGCGACCCCGATCATGTCATTCCTCATTCTGATATTCAGGTCCAGCCAGATATTTCGTACGAGGAGCGACCGCTAGCTGTACTAGACCGTCAGGTCTGTCGGCTCCGGAAGCGAGATGTTCCCCTCGTGCGTATTCATTGGGATCGCCACGGAGCTACTTGGGAGGCAGAGTTCAATATTCGCGCTCGTTTTCCAGATTTTCAGTTTTGATGTACATATTTTTATGTTCCATGTACATAGTTCATGTATAGTCAGTTATGTTTTGAATTTCTGAGGACGGAAATTGTTAAGGAGGGAAGATTGTAATATCCCGTTATTTTATTAGTATAAATCATGTTTTAGTTCCGATAAATTAATATTGTCGAGTATTAATTTTCGGAATTAATTATTTTCAGTCGAGATTACCAGAAATTATTTTCGACGTATCATTTACGTTCGGAATAATTTTGGTAATTAAGTATTATGCTTAAAAGTTAATTAAGCATAATAAAGTGATTAATTAAATATTAATCACTAATTAAGTCCATTAAGCCGTGCAATTTTCCACTTCATGTCCCAAAATGTCGTAGCTATTTTCTTCAAAGTGAAGGAAATTATTCCTCATTCTTTAGCAACCACACGTGTCATTAAGTGAAGGCTTAAGGGGTGATTAGTCACCTTAAGTGCTTTATTTAGAGGCAAGTGTCAAGCTTATAAGTAAGCCACATATCTCCCACATCACCTCCTCAATGTTCGGCCTCTATATATAAGTGGGAGTTTGGAAAATTTTTCCCAACTTTTCAGCTCTATATTCGTACCTTATAAGTGATTGAGTCCAGCAATAGTTAGACAAGCAGTTTGCCTTAGTTCTTTTGTTCACCACGCACGGCAAGAGGTAGCAAAGCACACACACGGGTACGCGCACGCGAGTTCACGATCAGTTTGGGAATTCCGACGAGCACTTGAGGAGGTAAATCCATCCTCAACCTCTTTTCATGTCAATAAGTTCATTTAAGGATGAAGTGTTCGGTTCATGTTTCAAGATTTCATAGATATGTCATGGTAGGTTCGGTTATGCCTAGTTAGGTCATGATCAAGTAACTTCTTATTTTATCCGGCAACTCATGAACAATTCATATTTATATGGTCATTTTAGATCATTTTATATCCAGTA